TCCCCATCCCCCAGTAAAAAAAAAAGAAATAAGAGGCTTATGGGCTCTCTCAAGTAACCTTGGCTTTGCTGTTATTTAGAATACTGGTAAGATTTAATTTAGAAAGATTTGTTCCCCTCTTTATTCCACTGAAAAATGTTGACCTCATATTGTGACCTTACCCTAGCCCTAAGTAAACTGGAACGAACACAACACAAGGGTGCTTCAGTATCAATATGACTCGCATGGCTTTGCTGTTCTGGAGAAGTTTTTTCCCCCTGTATATATGCATTATGTAAAATCTGATCCCTGAATTTAGCTCCTTCCTCTACCTATAGAGTCCATAATTAAAAAAAAAATTGATTCTACAAAACTTGGAATTCTTGGTATATTAATATGGTAAAGTAACCTCTACACACCAAACAAAATGTTTTTTTGAACATTGAGAAAGTTAAATTGTAGAGGGTGATATTTATTCTCATTTAAAAACATGGATCATCATTTTAGCCCTATCCTAACCCTGATTTGAACAAATACGACTTTAAATTAAACTTAAGAATGCTTGCATATTATGGCCCTGCTATTCTGCAGCAGATTTTAAAACATTTCTCTTATGTATCCCAGTGTAAAACTTTGATCCTCCTATTGCTTTCACATGTTTTGTATTCTTTTCTGACCAAGTGGTTCTCAGTAAGAATTATCTCCTCTTTTAAAAAGGGAGTGGCCCTTTATTTGAACGATTTTGAATCCCTTTACCAAGTTTACTTAAGGGTGCTTTGTGTTGGTTGAAATTGGCCCAGTGGTTCAGGAAAAGAAGTCAAAACATGTACAGTTTACACGATGGATGGAAAGGCAGACTACATGTGATCAGAAAGTTCATTTGAGCTTATAGCTCTGGTGAGATGAAAATGGAAGATAATTAAAAGAATAAAACTTGTTCTAAAGGTCAGAAGGTTCTAAAGGTCTAAAGGTCAGATCACATCTTCTGGATGTAAATCAGCAGAACAAACTCATGCTTTGATCTAATGAACTGTTCTAGACTAGTCAACTTGATCAGACTCAGTCAATGGTTACATGTGTAATAATGAATAACAGTGTCACAGCAGCTCCATACAAAAAGCTAGCTTTGTAGTTCAATATTTTCAAATCTAACAGTCTGAGCAATTTGATATTGTTACTGGTTGTGTCTTGTACCTCTGTGTTTCGGGTGGACTGGTGGGGTGGGGGGTGGTGGGGGGGTGTGTGTCAGGTGACTATCCTTTAAAACCCCTCTTTTATGTTATGGCGGCATTATAGTTTAAGGAACTAGCCAACTCATTCAAATATCTTATTCTCAAAGCAGTCAATAAACAATGAAACAAGTTGCATGTATTACATATATACTGACAAGACATTTCTAACTTCTGTATGATTTTTCTTTCTCATACAGAACTGCTATAAGGCGGTGACAGCTAAGGCTTTTTTTTAATTGAAGAAATTGATTTCCATATCTGATTTTGAGAAAAATAATAAAGGGGCAGTTTTTTTTCAAAATGTTTCAACAAAACTTAAATCTAAAGAACTCATTCTGAGGTTGTTTTATTATAAAGGAACCAAGTCTTAAACTTCAAATAAGGAGAACAAGACTGCCTCTATACAAAATTTCCATCAGAGGCTAAAATGGTTTTCAAACTGCAGTATACAATTAGATTCAAGTGGTCAAAAATATTTCCTGAATCCTCTTCAAAGAACAAATCTTCTTCCCCCTTAGGAGGATTACAACTGTAACAAAACTTAGACTTTAATCTTAAGATTTTTACCATTATTTCTTTCTGAGTTTAATTTCTCATAGCAATCAAAGATACCATGCAGGTATCTTCCAGTATCATCTATATAATCAACATCAAAGTTCAAATTTAGATATCTTCTTAGGATTATGGTAAAAATATATATATAAAAAAAACTGAGGTGTCCAAAAAATTCAATTGATAACTCATGAAGAGAAAACAAAAACCCAAATAATTCCCTTTGCACATGATGACAATGGAATATGAAAATCACATCACTACTTGACATTCATGTTACAGGTAGGCCATCATATTTTAAATATTAATAATGTATCTGCATGTATACACAGTTCTGCAGACGTTGGGCCACACACAGACACTTAAATGTAGGTGGGCTTATGACACTGTGCTGTAGTGTCAATGCAAACAAGTTGAGGTTACAATGTCTTTGAAATATGACATACTCATGGAATGCATACTTCAAAGATATTTCCGCCGGGTGTTTTATGACTCTTTTCACAATGTACCTCAGAAAAAACTTGTCTATTTCTTAATCTTTTTTTTTTAAATTGAATAGCACACTGTAATTGAAATTTTTGTGACAGATGTTAAAAGAACCTATAACCAGAAGTCTCTGATGAGACTGTAGCTCTACTGGTCTGTTTGTATAACAAAAGAAAAGTAGCACTTGGATTTGAAACATTGCAACATGCAACAATAAATAGAATTATGTATCTTAATGTAGTCTACTTTTGTGACAAGTTATATTGAAATCAAATGAAAACTAGGAGTAGTAGCGTTTTGAAAGTATTTCATGGAAATTTCTATTTCTAGTAACCATGACAACACCATTCACCCAAATAAAAAAAAACAGAAATACATATTATGTATCGTAGTGTATTCTAACTGTGTGCCAAATTAGATTGAAATCAGACCAAAATTGTAGGAGGAGTAACATTTTAAAGGAATTTCACAGAAATTTCTATGTTAAGTAACCATGGCAACACTGTTCATCGAATTCAAAAACCAATGCAATAAATTATGTATCTTAGTATAGTCTTCTTGTATGCCTAATTATATTAGAAGCAGACTAAAACTGTAGCAGGAGTAGCGTTTTAAAGGAATTTCACAGAAATTTCTATTTTTAGTAACCATGGAAACACCGTCCATCGAAATCAAAAACCAATGCACTAAATTATGTATCTTAGTGTAGTCTACTTGTGTGCCAAGTTATATTGAAATCGGACCAAAACTGTAGCAGGAGTAGCGTTTTAAAGGAATTTCACAGAAATTTCTATTTTTAGTAACCATGGAAACACCGTCCATCGAAATCAAAAACCGATGCACTAAATTATGTATCTTAGTGTAGTCTACTTGTGTGCCAAGTTATATTGAAATCGGACCAAAACTGTAGCAGGAGTAGCGTTTTAAAGGAATTTCACAGAAATTTCTATTTTTAGTAACCATGGCAACACCGTCCATCGAAATCAAAAACCGATGCACTAAATTATGTATCTTAGTGTAGTCTACTTGTGTGCCAAGTTATATTGAAATCGGACCAAAACTGTAGGAGGAGTAGCGTTTTGAAAAATTGTTTACAGACAGACGGACAGACAGACAGACAGACAGACAGACAGACAGACGGACGGACGACGGACACCTTACTATCGCATAAGCTCTTCTGGTCTCTGACCAGTAGAGCTAAAAATGAATCCTTTTGGCACAATTTCATTGATCATTCCTAAGTCACAAGATGAAAATGCAGGACCCCTCTTACCAAACTGCATGGTGCCCATTTTACAAAAGAACTTATGACCACGTGCACAAGACCAAAAACTTCAGTTGATGGGAAAAAAACCTTACAAAATATATGATTCTGTGAAGAAAAAAATTTTTTGCATAAAAATATCTTTAATTTTAAATTCTTTTGAAAAAAGTTTCAACCCTTTTTCAAATTAATGTAAAAATTAAAGTTATTCCCATAATAACATTTTGTTCTTGGTTGTAAGATTGTAAGTCAATTCTTTTGTAAAACGGGGCCCTGGAATCTAGTAATTATACCCTGATTGATTACAGGTCTTAAATTTCTTTGATGTAAGATGTATTAACTTTCAATAAATTTTGAGGAATCAGTATTTTTGAACATATAGACCTTTTATGAATTTTGCATGAAGGAGATCAAAAATATATGGTGGAGGTTCAAGTGGAATGTTATGTTCTAAAATTTGAATTAACAAATCAAGAAATAATATGCTTAAAAATTCCACCAAAGATTTGAACTAAAATACATGTAACTTGCAAGTATGTGGTGTTTTTGATAATTTTTCTTGGGGTGGGGTGGGGGAGGGGGGATGAATGATGCATGATACTTTTACATGCTGGAAGAATCTAGGTTAATGTACAGTAATACATACAATAAATTAATTTTAAAAAAAATGGTATAGAAAGATGAGAGGTCTACACATACTGGGCATGGCTCTCGTTTGGGGATTGAAATTTATAATTTTGGGGGTAAATGTAATTTTGAATTGCCCTTTACATATGAAGATCATTAGATATCGTTACTAAATCTCAATATATATATTTCTTAAATTTAATAATAACTTAAAATTAATAAAGCCACTAGTAAATAAATCTATTTGAAAAAATTAACAATAATTAATAATTATACAGACATTCATATTCTCTTGACATTTTACAAAGGAGAAAAATTACCTTCTAAAACTTCCAAAACCTCACTTATAATATCCAGGTCGAAAGTTTTCACTCAGAACACACCAGAAAATGCCCAGTTCCCATAAGAAACTACTTGTACACACTTTTCAATCCAACTAAATCTGACAACTTTTTAATCTTGCAAAGTTTTCATTTTTTTCAGATAACCAATTTCCAAGATAGGTACTGGTATTAAAATTATCCTGGATCAAATTTCATGTTTTGTAAATTCAAGTACTCCAACAGGTTAATTTTCTTGGAAAAACACTCAAATCATTAACATCACTATCACATTTCAAAACAATACACCATCACTGATACAAATATGCTACAGTAAATCCAAATCTTTCATGCAGAAAAAAGAGAATTTTCTCAAATTTCTAAATCAAACACTTTGAACAATCGATATGTCTTAAATCCGATAAAAATGGAACCTGGATAAAAACAATGGAAAGAACTTTTTAGCTGTAGCAATATTAACGCACACCTCCTGTTTGCGAGCTTACAAGCAGTCTAACAGATCACATCTCTCTTCTCTGGTGGTATGAGGGCCTTGTTGTGGGTCAATACCTCCCATACATGTTCAGTCAGCCAATACATACACCTGAATTGAAGAGTTTTCTCAACAAAATACACAATTATGTCTCTCTTGGATCCACAGGTAGTTTCTAGATCAAATCCTCCCGTTAATTATGAAATTTGTTGTATTCAAATTCATGTAACCCCTAATTAGGCCTCTAATTTATGTATATTCCACGTATGACGTTTTATCTTTTTGGCTTCCCTGATTTTTTTCTAACAGTGTGTTAGACCACCCAAGTTACGCTTTCAAACTGCATGCGTCTGTCAATGCTATTCATACAGTCCTGTTGGGAAAAGTGATCCTTAACCATTTTGTTCTATTTTCTTTTCATTAACAGATAAAAGAAACATTTTTCCATATTTAAAACTTGGATAAAATGGGGAGATGGAGGAGATTTCGACAGTTAAGCTTGTAGAGGTGAGTATGTAATTATAGCCTCGCATCATTAACTTGACAAAATTTGAGCAATGAAAATTACAGCTTAATGTTGGTTTCGTTACTTTCAAATCACTTTCACAATTTCATTTCCCAGGTAACTTGCCATTAAGATATCTTGATTTCAATTCATTTATTGACATTGGGTTGTTGATTTTATTTTCAAGGATAAATTTTTGTGCTAATGTTTACGTAATTTACCAACTTCAAAGTTAGGCTTGATTTCTATCATCATACCTTTCTTTCCATGGTACGTCAGCATCTAGTAGCATAAAGAGATGACATATTTGGTAGTATGTCCCCCTTTCCTCCATATTTTTTAAGTTCTTTGATTGAAATTTTTTTATTTTCTCACTGTCAAATACTGTAAAATCAATAATTTTTGCTGGGTTTAATTTTCACTGTTTTCATGGTAAGAGGAGCCCAATGAAATCGAATCCTCCACAGGCCTTTCAAAATCTCCCAGTACCCAGTACTTTTACCCAGCTGAAATCATGATTGTCCCGGCCAAAATATTCACTGGAGAAAAATTTGATAACATTTAATTAAGGAGGTTGGATCCTGCCATCAAAAGTAATGAGAATTTTTTATCAAGTATATTTTTAGAATTTATACACATAGCTTTATTAAAAATCAAAACAAAAAATGGGGGTCAATGCGCTTCTTTTGGCGCTACAGAGCATTTAGTTTGACCTTTTTGCACTGTAAATACGTCTTGCACATAAATCAATTTTTAAAGTTTTTCCTTCAATATTTTTTGTTCAAATAAATTATGGTGAACAAACACAATCTTATTTCATCTTAAATAGACACATTAAAATTTGTAACAACGAAGAAATTTTCGAATTACTCCGCATGTTCAATTATTTGACCTTTTTGCACTCAAACATTCTCATTTTTCTGGCATTAAAATTTAACAAGCAAAAAAAATCATTTGAAAGTAATGACATTTTACTGAATTTAAGAAGAATGGTTAAAAGTATCGTATATATTCAGAAAAGAAAATTAAAAGTGGGGGTCTGTGATGTTAATTTTTAGATATTACTAAAATAGTGCTAATTTTAAGCTTAAATTAGGGCTATTTTTTTCTTCGTTTCCACAATATATTTGCTATATTTATCAAATATGATGATAGAATTCATGACAGTTTATTTAATAGATAATTTAGTACCAGTATAAAACAGTCCACTGCACAAAATAACTATGTGTGCAGCCTGCATGTAAAAATAGGAATCCAAACTTAACATACTTTAAATACTTCAAAAGAGAAAAAATGATCATTTTCTTCTAAAAAACCTTCCGCCACAAAATATAGTTCCTCACTTAATGCTTTTGGTATGGAATTTAATCATGGAGTTTTAACTGAATATAGTTAAATTGGCATTGTAGAATCCAAATTTATTGTAAGAATTAAAACATTATGCAGAATTTTTGAAATATAGGTTAAGATAAGAATCTGCTCAAAAGCTCAGGAGCGAACCTCGTTAAAATCGCTTCCACATGTATTCTCCTATTTTTGTTAAAGTACCGCCTGTTTCTAACCTTTTTGAAAGCCTTGCCTCCATAAAATGTTAAAATTTCAAAAAACAGTTTTTTGCTTTTTTACTAAACTTGAATCTCTATAAACCAATATTCTTTCCTCAATTTAGCAAAAAAAAAATTTACCACACAAAAATAAGACATTTTACATTACTGCATAACATGCATGAGTACAAAATACTGAAGATCACAAAATTTTGTAACACCTTATTTTCGCAAGAGAGTAATTTGGTATTTTTTTTTTTCATGAATGTGTCAATGGTTATTGTCTTATAAAATACAAATGTGTGCAAGAATAAAATTTTCTCAAGAAGATGATCTCTTATAATTACATGAAAATAAAGTTCTCATGAATAAAAGTGATTTACAATACTTACATAGTATGACTTACAGAATATTTACCACCTAGACCTCTGGGCTTCCCTAAACATTGGCTGTGTGCTTCCCAAAACATTTTTTGGGGGGGGGGGGGGGTTAAGGTGGTATATTAGTCGGTAAAATGTTAATTTCTCATAAAATGGAATGGTCATCAAGGAGAAAAGGTAATCATACCAATATACTGTATTAGGTTTGCATGGGGTTTATTTAGCAAGTTTCTCTGCAAAATTACCTCCCAACAAAAATTTCTGAAAATTCAGAGACATACATGTATATGGGAATATGAAAAATTTAATTCAATAAAGTATAATCTGTAATTGAAATAAGTTAATTGCAAGTGCTAAATGATGTATTTAATTTACAGAGCTGGAAATCAAATGAAGTCTGCAAACCTACTAGCATAGTGCTTTAACATGTTATTCAATATGTACAATATTAATAAATGAAAAATGAGTAATTCAGTACATCTATATGTTTCATACTATGTAAATCTTCATAAATATTGGCATCCCATGCTTAATTTGTGTATAACATCATATTAAGGACATACGCAACGTAGTTTGAACTTTACTGCCTTTTTCCATGGAGTTGAAGAGTTCCAATACTTGAAGGGACTGTGTGCTATATTTTTTGTCTATATATGGTGTTGTACACTTCTTCTAAAACAAGTTTGGATTTTAAAAAAATCTAGAATATATGTTTAGTAATTTTAATATATTTTTCTTTCAGTCATTCAAGAATCTTCAACAGTTGATATCTTTTCAAAACCCCTGGTAATGCATGCTGATTTTTTTGTCTACGAACATCTGATGGCATTTAGGTTAAGAATATCTTGAAAAATTATCAGTAGGTAAGATACATTGCGTATGTCCTTAAATAGGCCAAGGAATTTGAGAAAGGGGGGAGGGTCCACCACATGATTGTTTCGGCAGTTTTCACAACCCAACCCACCCCTTTTTACACACACCCTTTGCTTGTGTACATAAAATCTTAGGAGGACTTGGAAACAGTGTTACAATTTCCCATTCAGTTATTCATCTTTATGAATTCTTTTGTTGATCTTTCATAAGTATGTGTTTTTTTGTTCACAAAAAGGAAAGGGGGGGGGGGGGGGGCTGGATCCCCTGTCTGGACCTGCCCTTGAACATTGACTAAAATAAGATTTGTGACAATTCATCATTAGTGGTCTGTATCACCAATGAAACTATTAAGGCTCTTTGCATAAGAAATTAACCTGCACAAAGGCAGTGCCTTTTTTTGATTTACTTGGTTGTCTATAGTTTGTCAGCTGAGACGGTAAATTACATGTGGATTTTATGACATTTTATCCAATTAAAGTGAGTTTAATTGTGATTGATAAATATGGCAATTCCTTTAGGAAGAGAGTTGTCTAGGTTTAGATGAATGAGGATTGGTGGATGGGGAATTCTGAGCTTATGCTATTGATGGCTGTCTCTGTTTGATGATCTCTGTTTTAAATTGAGATGGGATTGCTTGATCTACTGAAATTTCATTTTTGGTAATCTGTTAACTTTAAAAAAAATCTTAATCATCACTTTTCCATCCCACAAACCATCTCAGTTTAATGTAAAAAAAAATTATTCACTAAATAAATTATTACATAAATTTTTCTTCACTTTCTAAATTAAAAAAAAAATCATTCACACCTGAGAATGTGTCAACTCCTATATAATTCGCTCTGCAGACTAAAACACCAATTTGTCAAAACTTTAATCACTTGCAAGCAAACATTGAAACCATGCAGATTGACATATACTTTTTTCAAACTCACGATTAAGTTCTCAACTGTAAGAATGAGTTATTGATTGCCATGTAAAACTATATTCCAGTTCTGTAATTTGAAATTAAATCAATTTAAATTTCCTAGCTTCTCACCAGTTTCTCCAGTTTGAATCAGAACTATTTCATAGCTGTTGCACAAAGTGTAAACTTAAAACATTTGATTGTTTGATTCTACCAAAAAAGCAGTTCTTTGCTAGTAAAACAGTCTTTTTTAATCTTATAAAATGGTCTGCTTAAATATGAACATGATATCTATGGAGTGTCCTGCTTAAGAATGAACAAATTATATCTTTTTAGTAATCTGCATAGGAATGAACATATGATATCGATGATTAATAGGTTCAAAGTCTGCTTAAGACTGAACAAGTGATATCTATGAAATATCAGGTAAAAAGTGTACTTAAGAATGAACAAGTGATATCTATGAAATACCAGGTAAAAAGTGTACTTAAGAATGAACAAGTGATATCTATGAAATATCAGGTAAAAAGTGTACTTAAGAATGAACAAGTGATATCTATGAAATATCAGGTAAAAAGTGTACTTAAGAATGAACAAGTGATATCTATGAAATACCAGGTAAAAAGTGTACTTAAGAATGAACAAGTGATATCTATGAAGTATCTGGTTAAAAGTGTACTTAAGAATGAAATGTGATATCTATGGGGTTGTCTGCTTTACAAGTGATACCTATGAGGTATCAGGTACAAATTTTACATAAAAATAACAAGTGATATCCATGAGGTAGTCTGCTTAAGAATGAACAAGTGATATCTATGAGGTAGTCTACTTAAGAAATAACAAGTGATCTCTATGAGATATTTTGCTTAAGAATGATCAAGTGATATCTATGAGATAGTCTGCTTAAGAAATAACAAGTGATATCTATGAGGTAGTCTACTTAAGAAATAACAAGTGATCTCTATGAGATATTTTGCATTAAAATGAACAAGTGATATCTATGAGGTAGTCTACTTAAGAATGTACAAGTGATATCTATGAGATATTTTGCTTAAGAATGTACAAGTGATATCTATGAGGTAGTCTGCTTAAGAAATAACAAGTGATATCTATGATATACTTAAAGAATGCACAAGTGATATTTATAAAGGTTTAGGTTCAAAGTCTGCTTTAAAATGAACAAGTGATGTTTACGAAGTGTCAGGTATAAATTTCACTTAAGAATGAAGAAGTAATATCTATCAGGTATAGTCTGCTTAAGAATGAAGAAGTAATATCTATCAGGTAGTCTGGTACAAATT